TGTACACCCAGCCCATATCACCTCTTGTTTGTACACCCGGCCCTATCACCTCTTGTTTGTACACCGGCTATCACCTCTTGTTTGTACACACCTCTTGTTTGGCCCTATCACCTCTTGGTTGTACACCGGCCCTAGCACCTCTTGTTTGTACAGGCCTATCACCTCTTGTTTGTACACCCAGCCCTATCACCTCTTGTTTGTACAGCCCTATCACCTCTTGTTTGTGCACCCGGCCCTATCACCCTCTTGTTTGGGCCTATCACCTCTTGTTTGTACACCCGGCCCTATCATCACCTCTTGTTTGTACACCCGGCCCTAGCACCTCTTGTTTGTTGCCCTATCACCTCTTGTTTGCACCCGGCCCCACTTCCTGTTTGTACACCCCGGCCCTATCACCTCTTGTTTGTACACCCAGCCCTATCACCTCTTGCTTGTACACCGGCCCCAGCACCTCTTGTTTACACCCGGCCCTAGCACCTCTTGTTTGTACACCCTTAACACCTCTTTTTGTACACCCGGCCCTATCACCCCTTGTTTGTACACCCGGCCCTAGCACCTCTTGTTTGTACACCTCTAGCACCTCTTGTTTGTACACCCGGCCCTAGCACCTCTTGTTTGTACACCCCTAGCACCTCTTGTTTGTACACCGGCCCTAGCACTACCGGCACCTCTTGTTTGTACACCCTAGCCTCTTGTTTATACACCCAGCCCTAGCACCTCTTGTTTGTACATCAGCACCTCTTGTTTGTACACCCGGCCCCTAGCACCTCTTGTTTGCCCTACACTCTTGTACCCTAGCACCTCTGCACTACACCTCTTGTTTATACACCCGGCTATCCTCTTGTTTGTACACAGCCCCTAGCACCTCTTGTTTGTACACCGGCCCAGCACCTCTTGTTTGTACACCCGGCCCTAGCACCTCTTGTTTGTACCCGGCCCTAGCACCTCTTGTTTATACACCCGGCCCTAGCACCTCTTGTTTGTACACCCGGCCTCCTCTTGTTTGTACCAGCCCTAGCACCTTTTTTACCAGCCCTAGCACCTCTTGGCTGCCCTAGCACCTCTTGTTGTGCACCGGCTCCAGCACCTCTTGTTTGTACACCCGGCCCAGCACCTCTTGTTTGTACACCCGCCCTATCACCTTTGTTTGTACACCCAGCCCTAACCCTTGTTTGTACACCCGGCCCTAGCACCTCTTGTTTGTACACCCGGCCCTAGCACCTCTTGTTTTACATTTGCCTCTTGTTTGTACCTCTTGTTTGTACAGCCACCTCTTGTTTGTAGCACCTCTTGTTTTACACCCGGCTCCACAACACCTCTTGTTTGGCACAGCCTATACACCTCCTTTTTTCCCTAGTTTGTATCACCGGCCTATCACCCCTTGTTTGTACACCTCCCTATCACCTCTTGTTTGTACACCCAGCCCTATCACTCTTGTTTGTACACACCCCGTTTGTACACAGCTATCACCTCTTGTTTGTACACACCAGCCCTATCACCTCTTGTTTGTACACCCGCCCTATCACCTCTTGTTTGTACACCCGGCCCCAGCACCTATTGTTTGTACACCCGGCCCTAGCACCTCTTGTTTGTACACCCGCCCTAGCACCTCCTGTTTGTACACCCGGCCCTATCACCTCTTGTTTGTACACCCCCCCTATCACCTCTTGTTTGTACACCCGGCCCTATCACCCTCCCCCTTGCACACCCGGCCCTAGCACCTCTTGTTTGTACACCCGGCCCTAGCACCTCCTGTTTTGTAACACCTCTTGTTGTACACCGGCCCTAGCACCTCTGTTTGTACACCAGCTTGTTTGTACAGCACCCTCTTGTTTGTACACCCACACACCCTGGCCCTATCACCTCTTGTTTGTAGCCTATCATTGTTTGTACCTCTTGTTTGGGCTATCACCTCTTGTTTGTACACCCGGCCCGCACCTCTTGCCCTACAACACCTCTTGTTTCTTGTAGTACCTTCTTGTTGTGTAGCACCTCTTGTTTGTACCCGGCCCTATCACCTCTTGTTTGTACAGTACACCCTTGTGGCCCTATCACCTCTTGTTTGTACACCTGGCCTCCAGCACCTTGTTTGTACACCTTGTTACCCGCGGCACCCTTGTTTGTACACCGGCCCCGGCCTTGTTTGTACAGCACCTTGTTTGTTTTGTTTGTTTAGGCTACTGTTTACTTCAAGGTGAGGCTCACTTAATAAAATTAATATAAAAAACAACCTCTATATATTGGCTATATTTAAGCTACAGTTGACCAAAAGATAATGATGCATACACTCCTCCTGTTTTCCTTAACTAGCGACAAATTGGCTCCAGATAAAGCCACCATGAAAACACCTGAAACTTTTATGTAAATCCCTGCTAACTGGAGGTGATTGTCCAAACTATTGCCGTTAGAGGAAATTATCACAGTCCTTGCCTAATTAGAGTTAACCATCGATATTGCCCATTAAAGTGAAATCTATGAAATATTGCCCAGATTACATGGAATGATCTGAAGCACTCGGGAAAGTATCTACATTAGCGAAAATAAAAAAATGCCAACTATTGAGCCATCAGACGAATCAAGTTAATGACTATCAGAGGATTTTTTTTTAAACCATTAGCGGAAATACCAGGTTATTTACCATCAGATATATTATCAAATAAATGAACATTAGTAGGAGTGGAATTATCAAGAGTTATTCATCATCAGTGGAATTATCGATTTACTGACTCTTAGGGAAATTATCACCCTTTATTTACCATCGGGGTAATTAAATCAGTTATTGACCATCAGAAGAGTCAGTTTAGTTATTGTCCATCAGAGGAGTTAAGTCAGTCAGTTTCAACCATCAAGGAAATTAAGTCAGTTATTGGCTACCAGAATAAAATTAGAAGTTCGTGAATATGAATACAACTGTAAAAGGTACTGACCATCATATAAATTATCTAGGCTGTTGCCAATCAGAAGCACATATTGTAAACAGTTCTTTATTTGTTAGATAGGATAATCAGTTTTAGCGCCCATCTGGGTGACTTGTTTAAACAATTTCTATATAAAATTCGATCCGTTTAGGTGAGACAGGGCCGCATTTGTTGTATACGACAATAGAGTTTAAAGAAATCAGTTCCTTATGATTTTTTTTATGAATGTAGAGAATTTTCTAAATTTTCGTTCTTTCGAAATTTCTAGGCACTCCTGCAGCTAATTGTCAGAAATGTATCATGCTTTGATTTTACTATTTTGTTTATTTGAAATTATATTCTCTTGAGTTTTTCTGTTTTATTACGAGAAATATAGTACAGTACGGGAAAGACATCCTCTCTTTTTAGCCATATCTGTCTAATTAAGTGAAAGGTATATATTCTTTTACTTTTGGGTATAATTCATTAAGTACGAAAAATATATATTTTTGCTTTAACTCACTTAGTTACTTCTTTCAATACATGAGAAATAAAACAGCATGCTTTTAATTTAAAATTTATCATTTCACCACTTATCATCTTACTATTTTTATGGTGGGTCTGTTCTTTGTTACGGCCTTCACTGTCCAATGTTAGCACAGGAAGACATCGGAGTACCCAAATAAAACTTGTACGGTAATATTTAGTAAATTTACACTGCATAACATCTCACATTTGTCCCAGACCGGAGAACGAATCCATTCTTTTGTCTATTTACGAGGAACACTGTGCCCTTTAATCCACTTATTTATTTCTGAACAATATGTCATTTTTAGATCTTCCTACCTGGGAGATATATACAGCATCTTTCACAAGGTATGTATACCTAAAGAATCGAACATCATCAAAATTTGTTATCCGTGGACATCAAGAACCGTCCTGAAACTCAACGTCCTTGCTCCTGGTGAACCAGTGTTTATACGTCGCTCGTTAGTGCGTTGTTTGCCCCCTGTCAGCGGCTGAGCTAATCATCCGTAATTAAGGAAGAGATCGTTATCACCTCTGACAAGCGCCGCCCCAAACTGTTATATCCAGACTCGCAGCCGCCAACCGCGTTTATCAATGACTAAGAGGTTTTTCTTTATCTTGTATCGACTGTGAAAAAAGAAGTGAATCATTATAGACCTTACAGTATCTCTATGGGTTGTACAGAAATACTAGTATAACTAAACAAACACGGACAGTTCTACATTCCTCAGATCGGCCACTACTGATAACATTAGACAAACTTTGGGAAGAGAAAAAAAGAAAATAATATTTTCAAGTCCACGTGAAGCATTTCAACCCTTTGATTCCTTGGGCGTTATATTGTATTTCTGCACTTTAACAACTAAGCCTTAGTTAGTACATAACATTAACCATCAACAATTAAAAATCGAATAAAATATATCTTGCATTCAATACTCTCGCGATGTGGAGAGTGTAATTATAGTCTAACATAACTCCTGATAGGCAGGGATATTTTACTTATCATTCATATATCGAAATCTATTTATATATTGAAAAATCGAGATAGGGATATGCTTAATTTGCGCGAATCAGAAAATTGAGCAAAGTTGTATGAAACAGCAGACTGTGTTATCAAAATAAGTAAAATACGAAATATATACAAATTTATAAAGTTATCTAAACAAATAACTTGTAAAAATAGAGCCGAATCTCTACACAAGAAGACCGTTGGAATATTACTTTTAGGAATATACAAATTGTGTCTCATTTTTCATATCAATATCTATCTCACACTGGAGATTTATTTCAACACACTCTTTGTCAATTACATTTGTCCATCCGTCACAACCTGTGTACGAGAGTGGAAGTGAGGAACCGACGTGTAACCTACTCTAAGGACACCACATGCCCTCGATCACGCCTCCCGAATATTTTTTTTTTTACATCCTCCCACTGCACCACCACCCATTACTATCACACTACGCTGCAACACCATACACTATACTTTTGTCAACAACAAAACAAATTTGTTAAGTCAGACATCACCATTACTGTTCACATCACCAAGGATCACCAGTTGGTTATCTTGGGCAGGTCTGGACCGAGCGCTGCAGGACATGAACGGCTCCTTGGCGAGGACTATCGACCTGCACTTCATGTACTCCTTCCGGCCACAGAGTGTTGGTGAGTATTCTTCCATTGTTTGATTTCGTTCTTTCTTTTATTATTTTCCATTCCTTGATTTTATTTGTTTCTGTATATCCCATTTTGCACACATTTATATTTCAATTGTAAGTTGTAGTTATAGTTCATTACTTTTATAAAAAACAAAATTATTCATATTACCTTTTATAAACTGTCTACATAAGCAATGAATAGCCTTGTAAGAATTCATGCTCTCGATCATTATACTTCTTATAAGGGACTTTAACATTCAATTAAGTTGTAAAGGGCTGGTTAAATCTAACTATTGTATTACAGAAGTGCGAAACTCGTCTGATTAAATTGAACACTTAGTTTAGTTGTTTCAGGTAAAGTTCCGGTCTCAAATCTTGGTTTCCAGAATACTGTACAATAACTTCTAAAATTTAGTTAAGAGTATGACCAACGGTGGAGCCTCACTGAACTTTGCTGGAGCTGGTGACTTTAATGGACAGCCGAGCAGACATTTAATTTTACATAAAAAGACACACTGTATTAAACGGAAACATAGTCTAATATTATTTTGACGCCTTCCTTTATTTCACTTACAATCTGTTTTACATCACTTTAATTGTTACGACTTGTAATCGGTTATTATAATATTTAAGAAAATGCATTTTACTGAATACACTACAAGTAAATTGGGGTTCTTTTTTTTACTGTATAAGGAATAAATTTGGCTGGTATATAGAAAACACTGCCTTCTCTACCAAGCAATGAGACTTGGTTTTTCAGATTTACTCTATTCTCTCCCCACTGATGATATAGCTATTTTTATTATATATATATATATATATATATATATATATATATATATATATATATATATATATATATATATATATATATATATATATATATATATATATATATACAGTATATATATATATTTTTTTTTTTTCAAACATTTCGTTTTTGAGTTATGGCACCATATTCTTTTAATATTGTTATGCCGAGGCATAATTTGGTCTTGTAATCTTTGTGAACTAGGTGTTTTGACTTTTCTGTCCCAAGCAGCAGTTATTTTAGCAAGTTTAGGGAGATTTTCTTGTATGTATTGATGTATTACTCATGTAAGAATTTTCTAGAAGGTATTGCATCATTTTTGTTATGATTTACGTACGTATTGTAAGCCTAGATCATTCTAGAATTCTCCAGGCGTGTCTCGGTCCGACCTCCAGCGTCTGGATATCTCTAGAATGCTCAAGGCGACTGACGAGACGGATATACTGTAAATACCTGCGGGCGGCTTAGGTGAAGGTAGTCAACTGTTTCTGTTCAGAATGAGGTACTGTATAAGCCGAGTGTCAGCTAAAGATAATTATTGTGCAAGTATATATTCTAAGTGAGAAGTCCAGTGGTAAGGACTTGCCCTGTGAACAGCGTTGCAAGGATTATTAAAGATTACAGTGCACAAGTGTGTTTCAGTGATCTGGTGGAAATCTACCTGTCTGTTGTTTGTCTGTACACTGATACCTGTCGTCGGGAAATTACCGGAGACTGGCGGGACAGCCAGTGGTAAGTCGATGACACGTGTGATATATACAGGTATCTACTGCTTCTGTATATACGATATGGTCATCCTAAAACTATCTTGCGCTTGTGAGACCTCACTTGGATTACTCAGTTCAGTTCTGGTCACCGTACTACAAAATGGATATAGAATCCTAGAAATAATTCAGAGGAGAATGACAAGACTAATCCCGGGCATTAGGTACCTTGAGCACAGAGACAGGTTAAAGCTTCTTAATTTGCACTCCCTCGAGAGACGTCGAGTGAGGGGCGATATGATAGAGGTGTATAAATAGAAGTCAGGGCTTAACAAAGGAGCGAACTCGTAGCAATGGTATTAGATTAGACAAATTTCGACTTAGGTGCGAGATAGGTAAACATTTATTTGGAAATAGAGTAGTGGATGTGTGGAACAAGTTACCAAACATCATCATTAACTCGAATACACTGGATAGTTTCAAACATAGGTTGGATGGATATATGAACGATAAGAGTTGGGTGTAAACGGGACTGCCCAGTATGGGCCAATAGGTCCTCTGCAGTTTCCTGTAGCTGGGAAGCGGCGAAAGGGGTGTGCAACAATATAAAAAATACCCCACAAGTAGAGGGCTTTGAAGAATAGGAAAAAATGCGGGGTTAAAGCACGTAAAACATAGTATTCTAAAAAGATAATATAAGGATACAATGTAGGTTTTATCTTATAATATTCTTCTTTTTTTTACTGCTGTATTTAGGTTCAGTGTTTCTTTCGCAGTTTTTGACAGCACATCCCACTCGTCCGACCTCTCAAAGGTAACTAGCGGAAGTGTTACAAGCGGCCAAACTCCGCACGAAACTTTTATTTATATATATTTTTTAAGTTGGGTTAAGTTGCGTTCGGTTGCGATGGGCTGTTGATTAGGTTAGGTTAGGTTACATTGCAGCAATTTTCCGTGGTTGGACGTTTATAACTACCGCAAGGAAAATAATATGTTTTACGTGTTTTAAAACCACCCTTTTCCTCTTCAAAGTCCTGCCTACTTAGTAGGGCATTAATATTAAAAGAAGAGAAATGGGCCATAATAATTAAAAAACGAAAAATTTGCACAAGAAACGGTTATCACCAGAGCGTACACATAAAAAATCTAGAAAAACCACCGACTCCTGGGGTCGAGAGTCGGTGTCCTCTTTCGGTAAACACATCCTAAATACTTAGAGTGCCATTCAGTATTAGTCATCAAAATACAAAAATTGCGCTTCAAAGCCATAAAAACGAATAGAAATAACTGTCTATAAATAATTACCACAGAATGAAAATAACATCATCGGAAAACTCAGACACTACACCCACGCTTACCACTAAGCGAAAACGTGGATATCGTAATTAATGTTCGTTTAAAATAAACACCATAACTACAAACAATACACGTCCTACAAAACGAGATAATTCAATCAGGAATCGTTGTGATATCCAGTGTATCTAAAACAAAATTCCTGAAGTTCAAGTACAGTACGCAACTGTTTTTTAGGTTACGGAACACTGAATAACTGTTATAATTATTATAAATAACTGCTTCTTTGAATATTACCCTTGTTTATACATGTCAATATGTATATTAGGTACCATAAAAGAGTAAAAAAAATAAATCTGTGGATGCAAAATTATTTTCACCAAACTGTATATTGTAATGATTGCTTAGCTGGAGGCGTGACACTGCTATGCTGGTCTTGTCTGTTTTCTGTATCTAAATGTGTATAATTATACAGTATATTTATTTGTAGTTACACATCGAAGCTCCTCTTCTTGATATCCAACAGAGCGTGGGAGAAATGTAAACCTTGTCTGCGGGAATGTTTACTGGCAAATAAATACGTGACCAAGATTGGAGATGAAGAACAGGTGGCAGGTTACTATTATAGTCACGAACTTTGCCTGTACAGTATCGTCAATATCCATTATTAATAATGTCAATTTAAAAAGAAAATATCTCCAGACATTCAATAATAACATCAATCGAGCTCATTGTGCCATTTTTTTTAATATTAAGAATAAAATCTCAAGTTTTGTTGGCGCGTCACAAATACGAGTAATTTTTCAACTCACGCTCATTCGAAAACTATTGAGGTATGAATATACTGGATCAAAATGTGGCAACACAAAGTAGATCAGGAATGTGATTGGCTGAGACCTTTGCCCCTAACTATAAAATAAAAAATAGAAGAACACTGAAACACACTTGAGAACTGAACCTCGGCGAGGTAGGTTCTCTCTGCTCCCGAGGTACCGTGAGACCATGTTCACCTTTGACCAGGCGAAGGTCGCTAGACTGATTCCGGTCAAGCACCCTTCGCCCAAAGAACTAAACCTCCTTGTCCTGAGGAAGTTTTTTGACTCCTCGGGAATCACGGGGGTGACAAGGGTCGTCCGCTGTGACAGCGGTTACCTTAACGTCACCTTCGCGGAGTGGGGAGGGGCCAAGCAATTAAAATACATAAGAGAAATCAATGGAATCGAGATCCAAGTTGCAGCCTCCCTTGACGACAACTTGGTTTTGGGAGTCATCTCCCACACAGAAATCGAACATCTCGAAGAACAAGAACTTGCTGAGCTGATCGGAGATCAGCTCGAGGTAGTTAGGAAGCTGACCAGCACAGCTGCCCTGGTTGGCTTACCAAAGGAACTTCCTAGCTCCGTTTTACTGGGTTGGGAGAAAATCCCAGTAAAACCGTACCAGCAAAGACCTACTCGTTGCTACAAATGCCAGAAGTACGGCCATCTGGCGCGGAAGTGTCGTGCTCGGGAGGTGTGTTCATGCTGCGGGACACCCGGCCACATTGACGCTAACTGCCTGGCGGCCGCGAAGAAGTGAACAGCTTGTGGTGGCCCTCACTCCTCCTCCGACCGGGAGTGTCCCAAGTGGAGGGAGGAGTGCAGGGTGGCCAAGCTGCGGGCTAAAGAAAAACTGAGCTACAAGGAGGCCCTCCTTGTAGTGAAAAATCAAGAAAAGAAAAAGCAAGACAAGAACAACCAAGACAAGAACAACCAAGACAAGAACAAGATCAAGGAACCCGATAACATTACACTATCTTTAACATCGCTTATTGACGTGTATGAGAATATCCTAGAAGAAGACCAGAAAGAAGAAGACCAGAAAGAAGAAGACTAGGAAGAAGAAGAATGGAAAGTGAAAAGCAAAAGAAGAAACAAGAAAAGAAAGAAGTCCAACCAATCAACCAATCAGCTTCGGCCGAAATAGCCTAACGGCGAAGAGGCCAGTAATCCCCAACAACTTTGACTTTAACACTGAAAACTGCACCTCGGCGAGACAAGATCTTCTCTGCTCCCGAGGTACTACGTGAACCTGACGATGCTGTCCTATGACCAGGCGAAGGTCGTAAGACTGTATCCAGTCAAATGCCCTTCGCGCAAGCAACTAAACCTCCTTGTCCTAAGGAAGTTTTTTGACTCCTTAGGAATCAGGGGAGTGACAAGGGTCGTCCGCAAACCAGTGAGTGGTGGCCTTATCGTCACCTTCGCGGAATGGGGACAGGCTCAGCAAATAGCCAACATAGCAGAAATTAACGGGATCAAGATACTAGTGGAAGCTCGCACAGAGGACACCTTGGTGTTGGGAGTCCTCTCCCACACCGAGATAGAACACCTTGAAAAAGAAGAACTGGCCGAGCTGATCAGAGACCAGTTCTCAATAGTACGGAAGCTGACCAGCGTAACTGCACTGGTTAGTTACCCAAAGAATCTATCAAACACCGTATTGCTGGGATGGGAGAACATCCCAGTAAGACCGTCTGAAAGAAGACCACCAAGGTGTTACAAATGCCAGAGGTACGGCCATCTGGCAGGGAAGTGTCGTGCTCGGGAGGTATGTTGCAGTTGCGGGACACCCGGGCACCAGCACACCAACTGCTCGGCGGCCACCAAGAAATGCGCAGCTTGTGGTGGCCCTCACTCCTCCGACCGGGAGTGTCCCAAGTGGAGGGAGGGGTGTAGGGTGGCTAAGCTTCGAAGCAAGAAAAAACTGAGCTACAAGGAGGCTCTCCTTGTAGTGAAGACCGAAGAAAAGAAGAATCAAGCCCCCAACAGGACCACAGATAAGAAAAATCAAGACCCCAAGAAGATCACAGAAAAGAAGCCAGAATTAAACTAGGCTGAAGAATAGGATTTAGTAACATTAAAATCATCACCGTTTTTAGACGTTTACGAGAATATACCAGAACAAGAGCAAGAAGAAGAATGGCAATTGAAAAGCAAAAAGAACAAAAGGAAGAAGTCCAAAGAAAACGACTCAGGAAAAAAACAGCTTCGGCCGCAATAGCCTTAGGCGAAGTGGCCAGTAATCCCCAAAACAAGTACAACAACACGTAACACTCAGTGGTTTCTATTGTTTTTTGTTTTTGTTTTTATAATTTCGCTTGTACTTCAAAGTGGTGATGTCTGTCCGCACTCGATCATTCTATAATGCGGTGATTATAATGAGGTGCCGCACTTCGTGTGTTACATTGTAAATAGATGTTACCTTGGTCTTATTTTGCCTTTACTGTAGCTTCGAAATCTACAAGGCAATGTTCACTGTCCAAATAACTACGATGTAGGTATCTCACTCGATCAATGGCTTGAATTATCCTTTATTTTAATGTAAATGTAAAGGTTAGTCAATGTAAGTGAATGACAACTAGACACAATGCAGAGCCAAGCTGTAGAAAGCTGTAATTTTCAAAATATACAGTATTATTCCTTCTGTCTACTTTTGAAATTTTACACCAAGATTCACGTGGTAACTCATGTAAAATATGTCTCAAATCATATTATGTTAATTTCCAGAACCCGATGACTCATCATCGCCAGAAACTCCCATCATGACCATGATGCACGGCGAGGTGTGACGTCACGCGAGTGGGTGATACTCATCTCTGAGATGTCATACTTTCCACAACGTTGGTGCACATACTATATCAATAATATTTACCAACAAAATATGTAAAATCGATCAGTGTAATATCTTACACTGGTACGGTTTGACCGGTAATTTGTCCTCTGTAACTACTACCATCAGTGTAATATCCTACATTGGTACATTTGGCTGGTACTTCGTCCCACTGTAACTATTTCTGCCCATCAATGTATTGCTCTACATTGGTACAGTTTGGCCGGTAGTTCGTCCCTGTAACTACTACATTTACCAGTTAAGTCAGGTGATCAAATACTGATATTGAATTTTTTTTCTTTTTATTAAAATTGTCCAAAGATGTCAGACAGATTTGTGCTACAAACTTGCTTCTGGATGAAGCCTCTGTAAATATGGTTCTCTGATAGGCAGAAATGCTGGTAAGGAGTAGTATTCTCAAAGTTCAATTCCAGATAAGATTCTTTACATATACTGGAAATTTGGTGATTCAAGAGTTGATCAAGAATTGATAAAGAGTCTAAGGTGCTTTTCTACAAAAGATTTAATTATCTTATTTAATTATATCGCTAGTATTCACAGTGTTGTTCTTCATGTTATTGTGGGTTTATAAAGTACAGTCAATTTCACAAGTATCCGGTTGATCACTGACACTTAACAGACATTCCATGAGTAATTATCATCATCACAATCATCATCATCATCATCATAAAGTAATAATGTTTGTAGGTGTAGGCATGTCGGATCAAATCTATGTCTTTCAGTGTTTAAATGTTGTGCTGGAGAGTTGCCAAGCAGTCTTTTAATGCATAACTGAAGGGGTTGGACTTATAACTGGATACAATAATATCACAATTAAGAGCTATATGCTGGTTTTAATTCTGCATCTGCCTCACGTGTAATTATTTGATTTACCTCTTATGAGTTTGACTTTATATTAATTAAAATTAAAATATTTGTTCGGATTCTCAGTACAGTATTCCTTGAACATCAAACATAAAAAAATGCAAATTTTCTGCACTTTGTTTTTGTATCATAAAATTCAATTATAGTTTGATTTGTTGCCAAGAATGAGAGATACGGAACTATATTTTCAAAAATATTTCGACCAAACCATATTAAATTCATATTTGTAAATTTATCCTAATTCTAAAGGTAAGAATATTCTGTACCTATTACCATTGTATGTCATCTAAAACTACTACATGTATTTCCCATTCTCTGTTTTTGTCCAGTACTCTGTTATGCTTACAAAGAGATTTCTTTCTTTTTCTCATTGACGGCAAACGCTTTACTTGTGACTGATCAACCAACAAGCAGAATTCTTCAGTGAGTGGCTCAAATACTGATGCAATACAGTATCTGAAAATTATCTGTTTTCAACTCCATTTTGAAGAGATACTGTACTGTACTCTCAATTCATATATGGAATAGAGAGAGCAAAGGATTATTGCTGAAGAAATTATAAACAGTGAACTCCTTAAATTAATGGAAAGCTATTTCTGTACTTCAGGAGTTTTCTTATACTGCACTGGTATCAAGTGATCGTGAAAACAACAGTTTTGCAATTCAGTTTGATATCAGTAATGTAAGATAAATTACAGTATGTAGAAATATCAAATGCTGCTCTATGATACTGCTGCAACCCCTTCAACATAATTGCGGTGATTATTTAATTTCTTGTAATATAGAACCTTTGTCATGTTGTCATGTCTAATTGTTATTAGTAAATTAAGTTGAGATAAAGGGGAGAGGGAGATATAAGGTTGTGCTATAAACAATAGGATCTCCAATATAATGTCTAACTATTTATTTATTAAGGAAGAGGATTCGATTCCTTTATTCATAAAAGGAATTTGTTTATCCTGCGCATCTAGTTCAGCTAAGCCAAAGAAAATCATAATAAATTGTATGCTTCAACAGCCTCTCACATCAGTACATACTTGAAATGGCTTTTTAACAATTATAACATTCTAGGATTTCCAAATGTACAGCTAACACACGTAACTAACATGTATTTTTTTCTTTCCTGTAACTGTCTCACACAGCATACATCAAAATTAACGATACAGAGCTCCAAGACTTGTATATGATGTATGGTAGATGGGATTTTCACTTTCTTTCCCTTCACATTTACTATAAAAGCAACTGACCATAGATGCTTATGATATCAGTACACATAAAACAACTCTCATTTTGTTTTATATCAAACGTTATGTAAGTAATAGCTCTTGCATGTGGTTTGTCTACTCAAGAGATTATGTTCACTGTCTTATGAATGTACAATAGACTGTACGCTTGTCGAATGAATTCAAGAAAATAGGTGTCCAATGGTTTTAGGATCCAGTGTATAGACGCACAATTCCGTTCCTTCAACAGATTTATTCCTAGTCATGTGTACTGTATGATTTAAAAACAACACTCCCAAACATAACGAATTTCATTTAATAAAAAAGTTCAGGTGTACTTTATGATACATACATGTAAATAACTTTATAAATTGTTGGTACAGGTGCAGTAGTATACATCAGCATTCATAACACTTTTGCTTGAGATGTTATATTACTGACACAAATAGATGTATCTGTACAGTACATATCCTTTCCGTTTGGAAGTGTTGATTTTATATTATAATGAGACTGATCATTTATAAAAAAATAGAGAATACTTGATAATTGGCTCCGTTGTGTACGTTATATGAATCTCCTCTTATACAAGTCCCAAGTATTACAATGTCCTCATGTCTGTGATTGTCAGCCATCAACAGAATCACGGGCCCATGCGGCAGTAGTGTTATGGCTGAATACCCAAAGTATCCTTACTCATATCTTTTACTTGGGATTATTTTTCCAATTGCAATGAATAACTTATTTATTTTAGTCCCACTCCATACAGATACAACAAACTTGTGTAATAAAATTTATTGTTCAATTAATCTTTTAATAACCCTATCACATCTGTATGCACATTACTGGACATATTAAAAGCTTTGTGAGAAAGAGATGTGTTGTTTCTAATATCCAAGCTGGACTTAACCATTGCCTATAATGTTGGTTTCTCAGTTATCCAGGAATATATTATTAATGAACAATTACTATAATGATCTTTTTCCCATCTCCTTTCTTGTAATCCAATTCACTAAGCATGTCGCTGAGGAGTCGGTAGAGCAGTCTTTATCTAGTGATGCACAGCAAAATTTTGCCACAGCCACTATAAAAAAAATCTAATTTTGAAATTAACTTTTCATAACTAATTTATTTGATTTTAAAAGGGTGTGCATGTGCAATAAACAATCTACTTGAAACTCTAGACACGACTGGTACGAGCATAAGGCAAAACCCCCGAGGACAAAAAAAAATGTAAAAGACTCTCTTAGATAAAACCCCCTAAGACATGTAAAATATTAAATTTATATCATAAGAGTTTGATAAAGAAAACATTACAAGCATTACACAGAAATACAATAACACTAGCATTATAAATTTATAACTATTATACAGGAACATATATTAACCATGAAAATTAACATTATAAAAGATCATTGTACAGTGTCTAGCCAAGCTCAGCAAACAAATAAAGAACAATATTATAGAGTTCATTAAATGTTAAGGTTAATTTAATTCTACCTGATGCTGTGGCATGCGCCCTTCAGAAGCTCCTACAAGATCTTCCTCTTCATTCACTAAGTCCAGACATTGGTTTTTCAAATGCTGTTGATGCTCCTTTGTGACACGTTTGACTCGTTTTCTTGGGGCCCTCACAATGTTAATCCATAACCAGGGCTGTAAATACAAGATCCTGATCCTTCCTGATATTTAAAATGGCCTTCCAGGTGATTAAATGGCCATGTCCCACAAGCTCCAGGAAAACATAATTCCAACTCTTACATAGGTTGTTGGTCCGATCCTCTCCATCTGTGGTTTCTGGGGGACATTCCACAGCTGAGGTGGAAACAGTGGAGGAATCCTTCTCATGCGTACTGGGGGAAGTTCTCTACCAGGAAGAGCTGTTTGCTGGATGCGACAAAAACTGCCTGACACATAGGGCATCTATATCTCTTGACACTTGACAGCAGTGTTAAATTAGTTTCTAACAGTAGGGACAAACGATTTCTGACACCCACTTTTGATACCAGCTGACGAACGCTTACCTTGGGCGTGCGTGTGCATGAGGGTGTGCGTGTGTGTGTGATAATAATAATAATAATAATAATAATAATAATAATAATAATAATAATAATAATATTAATAATAATAATATTAATAATAATTAACGGTTTATTGAAAGAGCATAGCAGCCAGAAGGCTGAAAATATACAGTTGCATAATTGGGGAATGGGTTTCGATTTACAAATAATATATAAGTAACATAAATGATGCAAATAAGATATATAATAACTTGGTGGGGAGAAGCTTAAACTACAGGGCATTTCAACATAGTGACAGTGCAAAAAGTTGGATTTACTGGGAGTGAATACACTGGTTTATTACAAGTCATTGATAATTAATTTTTACAATGGTTGGGACTGGGCTGTTCTTATAGCGATCAGTTAGTGCTCGTATGGGCTGGATGCGGTTGTGGTGTCGAACAGCAATTCTCGGGCTAGGGATCTCAGGTGGTAGTAGGAGCCGGTGTCGAGGATGGTGTAGAAGCTTCTCACCAAATTTGCAGATGAGGTCGTGGTGATGGTCAATGAGAGTCGAAAGGGTTGGTGTATTGAGCACTTCTTGATAGGTGGAGTAGGAAGGGGAGAGAATAATCTTACATGCCCTCTTTTGCACTTTTTCTATGTGTTTATGTTGTGTAGCATTTAGGGAGGAAGACCAGGTAGGGGAGGCATAGGTGAGCTTGGGAAGTATGAATGTTGAGTAAACACTGAGGAGCTCGGGTGCAGGAACTCCGATTGACTTGAGTCGGCGGAGGAGGTGGAGACTGAAACTGGAGGATTTGACAACTTCACTGACGCAGTGACGCGTGGTTTCCAATTTAGTTTGTTGTCTATGGTGACGCCGAGGAGCTTAGTGGAATCTACAACCTGAAGTGTGTTGGGACCTAAAGTAATGGAAGGGGGTGGGACAACGTCGGAGGAGAGGTTGATGTGCATAACCATGGTCTTGGTATGATTGATGGTGACGTGGTTGTTGGTGGCCCAGTTTTGGAGACTGTTGAATAAATCCTGAAGGGCGGTATAGTCGGGAGCAGAATTGTTGACGCTGTGTGTGTGTGTGTGTAAGCATGTAGTGTGTGTGTGTGTGTGTGTGTGTGTAAGCGTGTAGTGTGTGTGTGTGTGTGTGTGTGTGTGTTGCGCGCACACAGGGTGGTGTAATGCGTCTAGTGTGGCAGCATTATGTTAGTGTAAAGGTGCAAGCACTGCTTGCTTCCTCTCGCTTTCAGCTATGCCGCCGCTAGCTAGCCTTCGTGATGAACAGGGAAGCAACTGGCATAAGTCTTTCCCTGCCAGTACAGAGCCTCTTCACCAGCAAGACTCCTGCTCTGCCTCTTCGTGGCAACACACGGTGAGTGGGTGCCTCGTGACTCCAGACTAGACCAGCAGGGGATCTAGGAGTAGCAGTGGGCCCCAGAGTGACGGTGCATAGGCCCACTGGCATGTGGACACGTCTTGGCGCCTACCAACCGCTGACAGCTGCCTTTTGGATTAATTTACCTTGGTAGGTACTATCGTGCACAAAAGTCGTGTCCACTACCCAGCCACAGTGAGGTTTCGAATAGCCTCGAGTCTGAAGTTTCGAAACAGCCGGGGGAAATGCTATGGTCGGCCAACAGATGTCGCCCACTGTAGCTTGTGTGTGTGTGTGGGGGGGGATAGAGGAGGTGGGGGCTGGATGAGAGGCAGGTTTATTTATTATTTATACCACCATAATTTCAAGCTGCCTTTTTAACTACGTTTTGTCTTACAGTTGTTTCTTTATGGTTACGAATTCATGGAACAGGTGCAGTGCCCTGGGTGCTTATTGCCACTCAGGTCACAATGATACTTTAAAGAATGGAATATATTAAGGGTAAAAGTGAAATATGCAAGGATCAGGGTGAAGGGCCTTGGTCAGCTAGTTTTACTCAGCGACCACATCACAATTTTGTTGTTATTCCGACAAAGAGATTATGGTAATATTTATTTATATTCCACCAACCTTGCTCAATAAATATTTGTGATAAAATGCAATATTATATAATCATATACTTATGTTAAAAAGAGTGGAGTGAAAAAGTTATCAGTATTGTAAAATAGTATTCAGACTTAATCTAGGTGACTGTTCCAATTCTTCCAAGTTCCAGTGCTTAAACACCCCACCACAATATGCAAGCTTCATATATTGTGGAGTGTGCTCAGTTACCGTTAATATTGTGTGCTGAACATCATGAGCATTTCAATGATGGTAGCAATTGTAACTATATAATTATATTGTGTTATAAGACAACACATTCCACGACGTGTCATACAGATCATTGTATACCACACAATACATAATTTGTGGCTGTTAAGTTACTTTGTTATGAATTTCCATGCGATATAGTTTAAGACATCATTAAGGACATGGATTTAAGATAACACTGTAGGTGAGTTAATATATATTAATTGTACTTACAAACAATCACTAAAATCCAAACAATACACCAATACACACATCTTAGTATTTGGTCCAGCCACCCATTGCATTCAGGACTTCATCAAGGCGATTAGGAATGGAGTCGACCAGCTTCAGGCACACCCCTGGTCGTCGACGTATACTCTCCCACACGTCGTATGCTTTGGCCTCTATTGCTGCACAGGTTCGTTGCTCCCAATATCCCAATCACGTTTCATCATGGCCCAAATATGTTCAATTGGATTAATATCACATCTTAGTGTTGGCCAGTCGATGACCTCAATTTCAGGGTGATCCTGGAGGTAGTCCTTCACAATGTTGCTGGTATGAATGGGACTGTTGTCATGAACCAGCCTGATAGTGTGGGGGGCTGTAACTGCCATAGCCCGGACTGTAGGAATTAGCAATTGCTCCAGGATATCTACATACTGCTCACCAGTGAAACGGCCATTGATCTTGACCAGTTCACCTGGCCCATGTGCCCACATCCACCCCCAGAATGACACTGACACCCTACCACTCACTGCGCGATGTTGAATGTGTTTCTCATGGTAGCGTGTGTTGGGGGGCCGCCAGCACTGCCTTGCTTCGGCTCCCACTGACCTGAACACCGTTTCATCGGTAAATATAATGGTTCTCCAGTATTCTTCTCTATGTGGAAGGTGTTCCAATGCAAAGCCGAGTCAACACTCCTTGTGAGTAGGTGTTAGCCACCCTTTGTGAGCTGGAATATGGCAGTCGATCCCGGCTTCATGAAGTCGGCGTCTCGTCGTCATGTGATGGCAGTTGAGGCCGAGATTTCTTGTATGCTCCACTGATGTTCGCATTGGATATGCCGTTGCAGCTGCCACGATCATGGCGTCCATCCTTGCCGACGTTACTCGTGGCTTCCCGCTTCGAGGTTTCGTCTCCACTGAGCCCTCTTCCTCCCACAGGCGGATCCGCCTCCAAATCGTCTTGGTGCTCCTTTCCACTTCGACAGCATTGTTCGGCACAGTTGCCCCGGCTCTCCACATCCCGATGATTTGGCCTCGCTCAGCAATCACTGTCGACGAATTTGCTCGTCCTGCAGGCATATCTGAAATGGCAGAGTAATATTATGTTGTGGTAACTGATGCAGGCTTTTATATACTAGAGTAAATTAATGGTATTAGTAACACCTAGGTTTAGTATTATTACTCTGACATAACGTTTTGGTAAATCTTTTTGGATCAACTGCCCAAGAAACCCTTTCTATTTCATGTATTCATAGTGAACTGCAAGTGGATCCTCCCTCCCCCCCCCCAAAAAAAAATTTTTTCACCACCACCCCTGCGACTG